GGGCTGTCGGTGTTTCTCCATTCTCATTTCGATGTCCTTGATGCTGCTTGGCCCACATGGTTGGCCCTGAGATTCCTAGCTCACAAAACCAGTGATCCAAGGCCCTTAAGGACCTTCAGGTGGATCTTCCTTCAGACACCCACGTTGGCAGGATGCCCGCCATCCGAACTCAACACTCGTGCGCAAAGAATTGGGCGCCCGGGCACGTGCTTCCTGAGGCACGGGCCCCCCAAAAAATGCCAAGAGTTCGTTCGTTGAAAATGACATCTCCAGGAACAAACAAATGCCAGTTCCGGAATGTTGAGCGTTTTTCAGAGTATTTTCCGTTGGGTCGTTTTCAAAACCAGTGAATCGGTATGAGTTCATGAGGTCATCAAGGTTCATCAGTGGCATCATGAGGTTCATCATGGTTCATCACTGGTATTTGTGGGTCTGGTCAGGCCTGGATGCGACCCTGACAATGCTTGTCAAGTGATGACTCGCGTCAAACAGAACACAAATCGCTCGAATCATGTGCCGATCAGGGTTCAGGTAGTTGAACGAAATGGTGTCCTATATCCACAATGACTCCTGTTGCCAACCAGTGTTGCAGGCTGGGTCGGCGACTGATGCTAAAAAGGGGTGAACCACCCTAGCCGATTCCCTACGCTGGAAGAAAACACTGGCGCACTCTGGGCCGGCAAAGAGAGAACAAACGGTCCATGGATGTAGACACAGCTGGGTTGAATTGGTGGCTTCGATCGGTATCTAAAATGGTTGTTGTTGGCCGCTTGTTGCCAGGCCACCAATCGCTTTGGACAGAGCGGCGTTTTGGGCTGCTCAAACCGGGACAAACGTGTGATTGCCTGGGGCGGGCGCCCTGACTCTTGAGGATGACGCCTTCCACCGTCCGATACCACAGACGCTGCGTCTGCCCAGGCGCTAAGAGCATATTCACCACCTTCACATGGCCCACGCTGCATGCTAAAGAGAGGGAGGTGTATCCGAAGACCTCCTGGCCGTGCCATCGGAGAAAACCGGTTGCTCCGCATGACCCCCTAGTAGCTTCTGGTTACTAGTAGTAATGACCTCCAACCTAATAGCGATGGCCTCCACCTAATAGCGCATGTGCTACTAGTAGCTTCTTGTTGCCAGTAGTGCTACGTTCTTAGCGTCCGATCTCTCCGTTCGTAGCGATGCCCTTTGTTTCTACTGGCACAGGGGATGCATAGATCGAAGCCAATGTGGTTGGGGGCTGGTACTTACAAGTATGCAATCATCATGCGAGCTATGAGGAAGTGAGTTCTCTCGTCGTGGTCTGGGAGAAGAAATCCGAACATCAGCCTGGTCACCAGGCTTCTGCCGGGCAATTCCGTTCATTTGGTCTCCATTGGCACTGGTCAGGCCAAGTTGGGAGAAATGCCCCAACATGCCGTGCCTCCCTTTCATTGAGCCTTTTCTTGTCCATGTACCTGAGAGCAGGCCTCCAAATAAACCCCTCGTTCCTGCACAAAGATTCTAGAAAGACTATTGGACAAATCGCAGTCCTGCCATTCGGACTTTATGTGCTCCATGTTGCCGGCGCTGCTCACTTTCCATTGCTCACTACTCAAGAATCTGTGGTCCCTATGTGCAACCCATAAGGGTTACCACTAGCAGCACTCGCATCCACTAACGCCCATGGATAGGGTACCATGTGACTCCACATGTCAAGCTCCCAGAAAACCACATTCAACTTGCTCAAAGCTCCAGCTGAGCAATCCAACTGCCAACTGGCGACCCAAACTCTTTAGCTTGGCTGAGGCATCGGCTGGATGGTGTGCTTCAGGAAGTCCAAGTCCAGCTTGACCGCCTCGGGCACGGAGCGGAGAGCGCCAGAGCGCACCCGAGCCAACTGGCGAAGCAGTTGGTCGACGATGATGGGGAACTCGTGATGAAAGAAGTTCCGGAGGCACCTCCAAAAACCTTAGGACCTAACCAGCCTAAGCCCAGCAAAAAAGAGAAATGAGACGGCTCCTCCCTCCGTTTTCAAGCACAAGTTCTGTACATGACAAGAACTGTGTTGGATTGGTCTCACACACCCAACACCCATCGCCAAGTCTCGCTGACGATGTCCACCACCTTCATGAACCCGAGCGAACTGTTTCAAGTGCGTGCCATGGATCCGTTGCCCAGGATCCGGGACTTCGATGGATCGATGTTCCTGTTTTGGCTGCTTCTGCTGCCAGACCAGAAACCCTCTACGGTGAGCTCGCCGAATCTCAGCCTTGCAGTTCCATGCTCCACCCACACCCAACTGGGCCACTTAGAGCTTCATTGGGTGGACCAATCGCTCGGCTTCTCTTTCCAACCCCGACCGTGACGAAGTCACCAAACCCACGCGGACGCGCCCACGCGGACGGCTCCGCGGAGTGCGGGAGGTCACGCCTTCTTCCCGTCCGGCGTGGCAATTCGGGCCTCTGAAGGGGCAGGGGGAGCCGTTGTGGAGACACTTCGATGTGAGCCTTGGCAAGATTTGCCCTTCCTTGCCTTAGCCCTTGCGTGCGCTAGGAACAAGAAGCTACGAACGGAACAAAGGGCATCGCTACGAACAGAGCAAGGACGCTACTAGGGGCGCTCCTGGCCATACTGCTAGTAGCAAGAAGCTACGAAGGGCTTCTTCAGGAAGAGGGAGAGGAAGCACAGCCGGTCAGCCCGGCTGTGCTTATGATCCACGAGAACGACGCTCAAGGACCTGTTCGACATGTTCTTACACACATCCTCTACATCTGCTGGATGTAGGCCAACGAAATCCACATCAGGCCTAGCATGTAGACTGAGACATTCTAAGATTAGGAAATGGCCAGCCTCTGGAGTGGACTTTGTTATTTGATGTTATTTGTAATCATTGAGGAGGTTCAGCCTTCTTTTCATGATGCAGTCTCCGGCACCTGTAGATGGTCTTGGAATCAGCTTGATGTCCAGAACAGGTGGTTGCTTCTCTGGGACCGGTTCTAAACGCCACACATGAAGCCAAGCAGAACAAGAATGGAATAGGGAGGAGCCACCAACGTGGGGTCAATATGCAGAAATCACACAATCAAGACCTACCAGTACAGGTCTTGGTTTCCTGCTGATGTTCGCCACCTTGCTTTGCGCTACTTAGACCACCTGCCACTACCGCACCCGTCCCTGAGCGTCACCGGCATAAATGTACTTGATCAAGGAAAAGCCTGCCGTGACTGCAGCCCTACTGAGCGTCGGGTCGTGTAAATGATGGTAAATGTCTCAGGATGAAACATGATCAAAAAGGCAAACTTGGCCAAGTATGTTGAGAATAGCACACCGCTGACAAGAAATCAAAGCGACACCAAGTATATAAGCAGGAGGCCATTTCATGTCACTGCCATGTTCAATTGGCAAAGTGTCCCAAACTGCGGTAAGCCAGGCAGGTGAAACATCATGATACATGCGCCCGAGTCCTCTTCCCTCGTGATCAAGCCAGGCATGTGGATTCCCAGGTCGCGGGCTCAATCGGGTCGTCTTCGGACGCTTCCACCCCTGCCTCCTCACGAGCCTGCTCCAGCACTTCCTTCAGCTGACCGGACGTGGGGGGGATCTGCCGCCACGCGATCCAAGCGGCAGCCCAAGACCAAGCAGGCTTTGCCCAAAGTGGGTGACGAAAACAGTTCATGGTAACCAAAGCCCACGAGCGCGTGCAGCATGTCCCTGGCTGCTTCTGGATGCCCCTCGCTGATGCCGGCAGCAGCCTCCAAGCACATGTAGATCGCGCCATCATTGCTCTCACAATAGTGGTTCATCAAGTCGCCCGCTTTCTCCCCCAAAATCTGAATCACCTGCATATCTCCAAACGGCGCCAACTCGGGCACCGCTTTGGCGACCTGAAACACCGTCCAGACCGAGGTGGTGTTCTCACCGGTGGTGAAATCCTTGAAGGCGATCTTCTGGAGCCAATACTTCATCACTCGCACCACTTCAGGCTCCCCCCGCTCCGCCACACGCCGCAGCAGCTGCATCGCCCTGGCCGAGGCCTCGTCCGGGAAGCGCTCGGTTGGTGAGCTATACCAGTCCGTGCGCTCCTGGTCCAGGAGACCCACGCACAGCGCCTTCACCTGCTCGCTGGCCTTCAGCTCGCTGTCATCAAAGGCTTGGAGCAACTCAAGGCGACTCGTCAACGACGTCTGCGCCTCCTGGAGCCACTTCTGGTGCTCTTCGGTGTCCACTGCGGGTGGTAAGGTCTTGAGGAATTCATTGCATTCCTCCACGTAGGTGGATGGGCCAACCAGCTGTAAGGACAGCTCGCTGTCTTCCGTGCAGAAGTCCTCAATGCGCCCGGAAACTGGGAGCATCTCCGTGCCGCGGAGCAAGCGAATCGAAAAGGCGGGTCGCTCGATCACCTGCGCAATGTCTTCCCTGAGCTGGGCGACGGCAGAGTCCAAGGCCACGTCCTTGGGACCCCAACATGTTTCGCCTGCTAAATTGCGAACGGTCAGGACGGGCATGGCCAAAGAGCTGCCACTTTTATTTATGTCAGTGCCAAGATGATGTCAGAGGCAAAACGCACAAACACGTTCTGCGACACTTGAGCCAAAGCCAAGGAGACTTCTGTGAAAGCTCCAAACAAAGACCTATTGAAATCCCATTGGATCTATATGCCACTCGAGAACAAATCTCACTTGTTGATCCCATGTCGTGTTCGTGGATGTGCGACAAGCAAGAACAAAACCATTGCACCAAACTCAGCAGTGCCGCAGGTTCCGCCCACGCAGCCCACGCCACGCCCCACCGGGCGACTACGTCGCCTTCAAACTCTGACCTCATCGAGCTCTGGTGGCTCCTGCCCAAAGTGTTTCATCTTGGATTTCTTAAGAAACCGGGAAAATACACAAAAAAAAACATTTCCCGGAAGGAAACAAAGAAATGGCATCCTAAGCAAAACCAGGCCGGATGACACATTCTGAAACGGTCACCGCGCGTCGCAGCTAAACACAGCCCCCGAGGGCGGGACACACGACACCGCACACACGACACAAATCCTTTTGTTTCAGCATGAGGGTGGGAGAGTGGCTTGCTGGCAGGGATCAAGATCAAAGGGAAAAACGTGGTTTTCACACACGGTGTGACGAGTCATGCTCAAATGCTTGTCAGGTGTGTCGATGTTCGGGGAAATGCGGGGAATAATTGAAGGCCACCAGACTTGCACCGCGTCACCAAATTCAACCTTTTCCACCACCCTGCTGCTGTCCAACGTCGCCAGCTCAGGAGCGATAGTCGGCGTTGATCTTGACATACTCGGTGGTTAAGTCGGAGCCCAGCACCACGGCCTTGCCCGGTCCTTCTCCCCCTCCCAAGATCACCTCGACATCCACCACCCTCCGGTGCTCAGGATAGGGCGACTCACAATCCGCAGCAGCAAACTTCAAATGACCACTCAAACGTCGCTCCTTCTCAGTGTCCAAGGAGAACTGCCCATTCTCGAAGATGGTCTCACCCCCAATCCGGCAGATGCAGTTCTGCGCCATCTGCTCGCCCAAGTGGCCCAAGGACCCTAGAGTCTGCCCCACCTTTCCGATGAGGCGCCCCACATTGGGGTCGTTCCCTGCAATCGCCGACTTAAACAACGGGCCGTTGACCACGGCCTTGGCCACCGAGGACGCGGTCTGGTCGCAGTTGGCGCCCGACACGCTCACACGGATCACGTGGCCGGTGCCCTCGCCGTTGCGCACGATCTGCGCAGCCAGGTCCATGCAGACCTCCTGCAGCGCCAGCTTGAAGTCCGATGGGTCCACCGGAGACGAGCACTGCTGGCTGGAGATGAGCACAACTGTGTCACTGGTGGACTCGTCACCATCCACTGAAATCGCGTTGAAGCTCTTCAGCACACACTCAGACAGCTGATCTTGAAGCTCCTCGCGAGGCAAATCCACATCCGTCATCAAGAAGCAAAGCATGGTGGCCATATTTGGCTCAATCATCCCGGCACCCTTCGCAATGCCCACCAGCCTTCCACCATTGGGCAGGCTTCGGGCGCACAGCTTCGGGTAGCGGTCGGTGGTCATGATGCCCTGGGCGGCGTTCACCGCGTTGCTGCTCGCACTGAGGTCCTTGGCCGAAGGCAGAGCCTCCACCATTTCTGCCACGGGAAGGCGCCAACCAATCCTCGGTTTCACCGCGTGGAGTCGCTGGGAGGTGAAATCGGACTTGGTTTGAAACTGCATGGATAAGGTTTCTGTTCGGCAAACAGCCTGGCGCCATAAGTAAGGTTCATGGCAGCACGACGCCCAAGAGCCGCATGACTGCTGGTTCCCAGTCATACCAAGTCAAGGCTCACACCAGTAGAGCTGGGCAAAACACTCGAACCACCCCCAGGCAGCTGCAAGCTGGTAGCCAAGGCTTCACAAACCTTCGCACTGGCAGACAAGCCTCCATCATCATCAGGCGGAGAGACATTGCCTTGGACTTGCATTGATTGGACCATAGTGTCCCTACAGTCTGAGCCGTCATATTTCCGTCATATTTCCGTAAACAATACGGCTGTGGGTCAAGACCTAGACAATACCTTGATTGACCCACGTGGCAGGTCGTTCCCTATAAAAAGGCGTATTTCAACGCCAGGCTCCACGTCTTCACCCTCCCAGATGATGAACAAAGGGGATGTGGAAGTAGACGTCACACTGAAACCAGTCCTGAAACGTCCCAGGCTGCTGATCTTGTTATTCACCACGATGGCCTGGATCTTCTCCTGCGCATGAATCGAGGATTTCTTGAAGCCGTCATTGGGCCCTGGCATGCCAAAAAAAGACAACATAACTTTTGGTTATATATATATATGTGGTGGATCTATTCAATTGGGATTACAATTCAATTGAATCCCTTCTTCTCCATCCGTCTTTGAGTCTTCGACCTTCCCCCCAAACTCGCCCACCTGACTGGCCATCCGCTGCTTTCCCAATCTCACCGGAGCACCAGGGAATGCATTCTGAGTGAAGACAGCTGCCACTCGATCACTAGGCTCATCCAAGCAAAGCACGGTGAGTTTCATGGGCAGCTGACCCATCTCCTTGGCCTCCTCAGGCACAAAACGCAAAGAGCTGCATCCGATCTGAAAGCCCTTGGGCAAGGCGCCTTCGAGCTCCAGAGTCTTCAAGTAGTCCTCTTAGATGACTGAAGGGCGGCCAAGAGAAAAGCACTTGAATCAAATTCCTTGGACATATATACATACATTGTATATACACATGTCAACAGAAGGAGATATGTGTGTATATATATATATATACTGAAGTCCAGACTCACAACACCCTTGCCTCTATGACAACCACACTCACCACGGGCCTATCTATGTGCATTTCTTCTCGATTCTAGGCAAACCCTGCACAGGTTCCATAAAGGGAAGGTTGTTCTGCGCGCGGATGAAGCAACAATCACCCAGCAAAACCCTCGACTCCTCCTCCGACGCGAACTCACGTTCATCTTGCTTACCAGCCAGCCATTCAGCTCCAGATCCAGCTGCCCTTGCAGCTCTGCGCTCGTGCAGCTGCTTGGCCACCAAGAAGGAGGAGAGGCCACTCACCCAAACGGACCCAGTCTGACCCCGACGGCGCCGCGTGTTGCGCCCGGCTGAAGGTCCGCAGGCCGCGCTGACGCCCCGCGGACGCAGCACGGAGACCCTCGGGAGCTCCACTCCCGACGGTCGCTGCAACGCCTGCGGCACCAGCATGGCACCGTTCCGCGCAGCTCTTCCGCGCGGAACGAGTCGAGGGGGCTCGGTCGGTGCTGCGAACCTGAAGGGGTCGCGGGAATTTTGGTCCATGTGTCTCCAACACCCAACATGCTTCTTCACGAGCCCTTCCAATGTCTATAGCTCCGCAACATGTAACAATCGCTGACCAAAATGTAAGGTTTTTGGGATGTTTCTTGACAGCGTTACCAGGAGGAAACGTTGAAGCCTTGGAGTGAGTGTTTCTTACATGTTTCTCCAAGCGCATCAGTAACTCAAAGGAGTATCAAGCCGAGCTGAGGTCACTAATGGTACGATCTGTGTGGGAGTCCGTTGCCCATTTCGATCTCGCAACATCAGGGCTTCTGGCTGCTCCTTAAGTAGCGTCCTTGCTCCTAGTAGCGATGCCAGCCCCTAGTAGCGTCCTTGCTCCTAGTAGCGATGCGAGGAGCCCCTAGTAGCGTCCTTGCTCGTAGGCCATAGCTATTGACTTGGGCGCTATCATCCGGCGAGGCGCCCCCAAAAAATAGACATCCCAGGACCTTCGTGGACTTGAACCCATCAGGTTTTGAAAAAAGGGATCCATCACAGCACTGGATGTTCCGCGACCTTCGCAGAGCCTTCGCGGAGGCCGGTGCACCTGTTAGAGGGCGCACCCTCGGGCGAGTTGAAGTCTCGTCGGTCAGCCTGGGTGGCAACCGGGTGCTGAAGAGCACCGGCTGAAGTCTACAAGGACAAGTCCCCGAACATCCTCCTAGTAGCAAACATTGTTCCTAGTAGTACGGCCAGGAGCCCCAAGTAGCGTCCTTGCTCCTAGTAGTGATGCCAGGAGCCCCTTCAAGGCAAGTAAGCTCCACTCCACAAGTGAAATCATTGCAGAACTACTCGCTAGCCAATCCGCTAGAGCCAATCCGCGAAATTCTGTTCTGCTCCACTCCCGAAACTCAAAGCATCCGCTTGGTCTTGGGGGGGCCCTCCGACTCCGGACTGCCACGAATGATGTGGTGAAAACCAGCACATGATCACATGAGGCTGGAAAGTAAGCCTGCAGCCAACCGTCAAGACCATGGTCTCTCGCGCAAATAAGCTTCCAGCCGTGGCTTGTCGGCCTAACGAGCATCACAGGCTGCAGGACCCTCCAACCAACTGGCTGGAACTGCAACCGCTCATGAGCCTACACTCCCCCCCCACAATGGATGTCTGTGCACATGCTTGAGTTGAAGTCCTTTTGCAGGTCACCAATCTGGCTTTGCTCCCTCGATCATGTACCGGCCATACTCAGCTAGAAAATAGAAAAGCACTGGTGGCCCGTGGATGTCTGCAGATAGAGTCGATAGTATAGATGTCCTTGACACTTCATCAAATACATTCCCCACATTCAGAAAGCCCTGTGTACTAAGAAGGCTGCCTGGCCTGGTTTGCGTTTGATGGGCGGCAGCTTATCCGCAGACACCGTCCGCTCCAATGACGCCGAGGACGCGCTGCTCTTCATGGTCGCATCCACCCGCCGCCGAGGCCCGTGGAACCCCCCCCGCCCCGGTCTCGATGCCAAATCTGCGCCAAAGCGGACGTCTTCCCCTCCGCAGGGCCTGCTCCGCAGGGCCTCCCCTGCACTCGCTTATTGCATGGGGATGGCCGACCCAGAAGAGCTTTTGACTCCCCAAACCTCCACCTGCCGGCAGCCACATTCCAACAGAACTGGACCATGCACCATCGTGCACCAGCACCGCGTCCGCGGGGAAGAAGACAACACGGGCTCGCCACTGGCACGATCGTTCCAGAGTGCAACTCGGTGAAGGACTCTCCACTGGAGACGGCCTCACCCCTCCCTCACCCATCCCCCATCTGAAATGAGCATCTATCAGTTTTTCACGCATGGATGGTCCGCCGATTCGCCTGAGCCCTTTTGATGAAATTCTCAGGGAGCGAGTTCTCTCCCCCACAGCGATCCTCTGGCAGTTGGGGATCTCTCTATGAGTCTGTCCGTTACGCTCCAGGGACCAGTCGCAGCCCAGCGGCCCAGCTGCGCCTGCCTTGGGCAGCGCCCGCTGGCCGCTGGCCACTCAGCAGCTCATTCAACGGCCGTCGCAAGCTCCAACAACCTTGATCGACCTGTTCTGACATGCTCAGTTTAAAGAGCCCTTAGTTGCGTCCTTGTTCCGTTCGTAGTAAGGCCAGGACCCTAGTAGCGTCCTTGTTCCTAGTAGCGATGCCCTTTGTTCCTAGTAGCGTCCTCTACCCCCCCTCGATAACAATTCTCCACCAAACTACATAGTACCAACGTCTCATCCAAACCCGCCCAGCCACAAACTCAGCTAGCTTATCGAGCTTGTCCTGCAGCAACGGCACCAAAAAAAAAAGATCCAGAGGTTCCCGCCAAACCAAAAATCCAGCTTACATATGCCATCAATGCCATCTGCTTGCCACCTCGCCATTCTATACTCCTGTTGCTGACCTCAAACCAGGTCAGCCACCGGAAGCCGAGGGCAACTCTCACAGCGAGTGGGCGTCCGATTGGGAAAGTTCGAAGTTTGTGCGGCTCCTACCACAGATGTGCTGCATGAATAATTGAACATTGGGGATCCGGGCTTTTGGAGATCAACCAACTCTAAGGTGTTTCACCGATCGAATGGAACATACAACACTGGACAAAGAGAAAAACACCGGTAAGTCTAAGTCTCTCTGGCTCAAGTGGGGGACGCTGTAGACACGCAGAAAATGGGGATGTTCATCACCCAGGACCTGGGAGTGCCACGTTTTCAAAGGCACTGCAGTGCCACCCAACACTGAAATGTATTCAAGAAACATTGCAATATATATATATATATAAATACAGTACATGCTTGCCACATGTTCCAAGCTCGTACTGGCTGTCTCATTTGGGTCTTCCAGTCTTGTGAACCAATAAAAATGGAGCCTGTAGCTCAAGAAAGGCATGCATCCGGACCTAGGCGATGTTCGGCAAATGCTGCCGAGCAAGCGTTGAGCAACGAACGCCCACTTCTTGAAACAATTCCTGGGCGACTTCCCTGTACAAATGAAAGTCAGCCGAAAACTGGCACATATACTTGGATTTGCTTAAGGAACCGTGAAAGAATGGAAAGATATTTCCCGGAAGAGGATGTACCCATAGACTATATACAAATCACCCTAAGCAAAACCCAAGCTCTTTGAAGCACGCGCGTGTTGTTCGCGCGGTTCTTCCGCTGCTCTGGCCACGGGTCGGGGGAGAAGGCGGGCATCAAACGTCCACGTGAACAAAAGTTCAACTGCTTTGCGATGTATGGCGACAAATTGACTCAAACATAGGGCTACCCTGGGGTTCAACTTGGGTGCCAGAATTGCACGTGCAGCTGTGGGAAGCTGCTTTTGAATCACAGCCTGAGACACACCCATATACACCCATTATACCAGTGCCTGTTGGAGCATTGGGGTCAATCTGATAAACATTGGGTGCGCTTGCTGTCAGCAAGCTTGGCTCGAATCCATCAAGCTCAAGGCAGACTTTCGATGTGGAAAAAAATGAAAAAAAAAACCTTCATGCTGGATTTGAGAGTGGTTCTTGCAGCTTTCATTCGCTGAGAACTGGCTTGCTTGTGCCTCCTGCCCAAATCCCCCAGACCAGACCATTCAACTCATCTGCAGCTACTCATGTTGAACTTTTTCTTCGTAAGCGCCTGCCACACGAGAACTACAATAACTACAACTCCTCGTGATTGGGGGGGATGGCGAAGACTGATTTATTGACAGGGGTCTGATCTCCTTCAATGATTCCAAGGCCTTGCCAAAAGCCTCAAGAACCCAAGGCCTGGCTTGGCTTTGACGTTGGACGATTGGCCAACTTTCGAAAGGATGGCAGTTACAGCAGCATGGAAATGCCACATCACCCACCCGGTCAATTACCCCAGCCCACTGCAAAGTGACCCGCTGCTGTAGGTCGCGGTCGTGCGCCCTAAAACGAACAGAAAACGAACCGAGAACCCCAAGACATGTCGGGAAGCATGCCGGTCTGCAGGGCTGAATTCACGAAAATCGTCGTCGAGTCTAAGTCCAAATGCCTCAGAGAGCACCAAGAACGAACGTCTTGAAGGTGTTTCAGGTTCTTTCTTGACATGCGCCCTGACGGGCTCGCACCTGACGGGCGCCACTCCAACCACCCATCACCCACCCACCCGCCCGGTCGCGCCACCGCCCACGGCACCCGCCCGTCGCCTCAGCTCCTCACCTGCCGTTGCTCCTGTGCTTCCCGGCGCGTCATCAGCCAAAGCCCGGAAGCACCGGTGAAAAGGAAAACCATGGTCTTCCGGTGAACAACTCCGGTCTTTCTGTGCCCGAAAACCACTGACTCGTTTTTTTCTCCCCAGGTGGCCAAGCCACTGCTCGATTCAGAACATTGAGTTAGGATTCGCTAGAAAGAAGGTGCCCGGCCACCCTCTCAAAGGAAGCCATATGGCCCCACAACAGAATCCTGCTGTCTGTGTTCTCCAGCAAGTTTGCGGCACTGAATTAGCAACAGCAAGTAACACCACAAAGCAACCTTCCAACCAAAGTACCAAAAGCACTCGCAACAATGCTAAGTGCAGGTGTCCCCCCAACAAACTCGCAAACCTGTGCCGTGATGACTAAACCACAAAAGCATCACCAGCCGCAACCACAAAGAACGCAAGAAGAAATCACCAAACACCAGAGATTCAGGCCGAAAACCACCAAAGGTGGCCCCCAGCACCCCATGGTAATGAACCCTTCAAAAGGACCACACCCGACCAAAAAGCCGAACATCGCCGGGAATACACCACCATCAGCACCACATGCTCCGTCCTTTCTTCGTTCAAGTCCAGCTCCCGCTCCTGGGAGGGATCCCATGAAAGTCCTGGACCTTCCGAGAGCTCCAGCACATGCCTGGGCAGCAAGTGGGCTCCAAGCGGCTCGGCTGGAAAGGAACTAAGACTAAGAAGCTTTGGAACGAAACCACTTGAAACCCATGTCTTCCATTAGAAAGGGGGTCATTGCCGTCAAATAACCACAAGGGCAAGCCTAGCAAGCTTAATAAAGCGGGGATGGAGATGGTCCTTGCTATCTTGTACTTTCATGCAGTTGTCACACATGATTCATGTTTTCCTGGTCTCCCTGCATCGTATGTGGTTGCTTCCGGATTGGAGGAGCACACTGAGCACACCTATGACGCTTGCCGGGTCCTGTCACTCATTTTCGCGGACGGCGCAACCCCCTATGATGACCGATGGGTTCCAAGGGCTGGTGGGTTTAGGTCATCTCTGAACCTACTTACTGTCAAATGCCGCCCAACAGCACGGCCATCCGTCTCAAGAGGCGTGCATCGTCTCTCTCCCTTCGTTCACCGTGGAAAAACATCGGCCGCTCGTCTGGAGTCTGGACCAGCCTTTTGAGCCAACTTCAAATAATGAGGTTCATGGTGGGTGGCACAATCCCCCACCTAGAAGGTCTGTTTTGGGAGCCCCATGTAAAACCAAGGACATCTTTGGGCTTGGGGCTTGTGCCATTCTACTCTGAAACCACTGTATTTCCATGTTCATCTATCAACACACCTGGGTTTGGTGCTTTTGGCCTTGACCTCACGTGACTTCCGCTCGTTCCCACTCATATCCAGCAGCAGCAAGCTGACCAGGCTGACCGTGTCTGCTCATCCTCCACGTCAGACACACGACGCACGACCGTAGAAACGCCGGACCGAGGGCGGTCACATGGCCGCACCAGGGGCCTGCCGAGGTTGAGAGACCTAAGACCCTATGGATCCCAGTGGTACATTTGGGGTTTTGAGGGCTGCTCAAGCTCTCTAGGTGCGCTGTTGGTGTTGTGCATGGTCATACCCGGTCGTACCGCAAGGCCCGCAGTCCTTAAGGTGCTGATGAGGCCTCTGCTCTTGATCTAACACGAAGAGGTCGCTCCACTTCTTCTGCTTGGCCATGGCAGCCTGGATGAGCAGATCACAAAGTGCGGTGATCTAGAATATCTACACCTGCCTACACATCCTCCCCAGCACAGATCATCTGCGAGGAAACGACCAGCACACTGGGTGACCAAAAAATGCTGGGGGGCATGCGCTCGGAGACCAACCCATGACCTGCATCGCGAACGTAATGATCATGGCACGACATGTTGTGCACAAAGCCGGGAAACTCAGCAAGGGGTTAACGTCCCAAAGTCAAGAGAATGATGGGCCCATTTTTCTGCTGGGGCGTTGTTCTGAAGTTGAAGCCATGGACGAGGCATGACGTGGCTCATAAGGCTCAAGTTTATAAGTCCAGAAGGCTTCCTCAAAACCACCGGCCATTCCCAGAACTTCCGTTTTGACTAATTTTACTCCACCTGGTAGTCATAATCCACCACTACCATCGGGGTAATGGCTGAGTCATGACTGGACTCTTAGGGATGGATCGGGACCTCTCAGGGATGTGCAGCACTCAATCCAATTCGACACGGGAACACCGCTTTCGGACCGAAAGCGAAAAAACCGTCGTGTTTCTCAGGGACGGCATCTACTGAACATCCTAAAAAGGGCTTGGGCATGCGCAGGAGGGCTGAAATGGGTTCCCACCATCCCGAAAGCCTTCCCAGTAGATCACGAGTTCTTCCCTTAGCAATCTCCTGTGATCCTTCCTGTCAGATGGCCGATGGCGAGGCAGGCCGCTGGCCAAACGTGCTTTAACCAACCTCCTCCTCCTTTTCGTCCCGATTCCTCCAGGCCAAGCGTCCAAAAATTTGGAGGCGTATCCTCAGGACGCCCCCCCCCCGTCCCGATCCGTCCAAGACGGGGGAGACGGGTCGGGCCCGGAGGGCGGGTCGGTAGGGCCAACCAGCCAACCAACAACAGCAAAGAAATCAGCAGGGTAAACGATGCTGGTTACAAAAGACCAGCACTGAATAGAGTTCTGGTATTTCCTGGCATCGTTTCCTTATCAATGTCCTGACATCCCGCCCGGATTGCACACCTGAACCCACACCAATGGCAATGGAGTTTGCTAGAATCTTAAGTATAGACGGCCAGCGTCGAGCGTGGTATTCGTCCTTGTTAATCTTCCATGTTCGACTCTCTCCTGCTATGCCTGGACCCTTTCAATAGCAGGCACAAAGAAACAAATTGTTGATCATAGAGTCCCACAGTCGTTTTGCCCTGGAGCCCTTCAAAAAGGTGAAACTGTCATCAGGAATGGCGCATCTCACATCCCCCGTATATCTCCTCGAAAGAAAAAACAAAGGCGCTGGATCCCGTGCATGCCGTGTGGCGGCTGGCGCAGCGCTGCGTCTGCCAGGAGTCCATCATGGCATGGCAGAAGCTCTGCACGTCCAGGGACGCCACGCGGGAGACGTCCGTGGAGACCAAGTCGCCCAGGTAGACCCAGGGCGTCCACAAGGCCACCTGGACCGACCCGAACCAATCGGACGCTACGAACGGTTCGGGTCAAGGACGCTACGAGTTCCGGGGCTCCTGGCAGTAGCAAGAAGCGACTATATAGAGGCTAGGGGCTCCTGGCCTTACTGGGAGCAAAGGACACTACTAAGGGCTGCAACAGTTCCGGCAACACCCCGAAGCTCCTTCAATGAGTGGCGTCCTGGCTAGTCACGCTTGGGACAACTGTGTTTTCGTACTTAGTGCTCACCTTTTCTTTTACGGCTTCTACTGCTCTGTCGTTTGTTTGCTGGGTGCTGCCCAACGTTCACTTCTCTCCCGACCATGTCTGATCTGTGTCTGGGTTCCGGCCATGTCTGGGTCGCAGTCACGAAAGCATCCGACCGGCAGGGCTGGTAGGTGAAGTTATCTTTTCCGCCTTTCCATCGTGCCCCATGGCCATGGCGCCTCACCATCCTTGAGGTGGGGGAAGGGTCAGCACAGCACTGCCCACACCCTCAAACCAAAACAACAACAAGGGGTGCGCGTCAGCGTCAAAGACAGCAAAGATGAGCGAGGGGGGAGAAGAAACAAAGCCAACCAGAACCAGAGAAGACAGAGCGGCCTCGGCACTCCAGAATCCGCTGCCAACTTCTTCCTCTCCATCCTGGCTCCGGCATTTGTCAGAGAACAAGGTGAGAAAGACTAGTGACTAGTGAAGTGACTATCAACTAGCTGCTGCCAGCCGCTCAAAACCTGACAAAAACGCCCAGCTTAGAATTAGAACTGGTGTGGGTTTCCTCCCTAGGCCTCCCCATCCTATACATCCCTAAACCTCTCCACCTATACATGCCTTCCCAATGGAAAAACGAACCTCGACACGCCTCGTAGCAGTAGGTGAGGTCGCCACTGAGCTTCAGATACGCCGAGGCTGCGTGGTTCCCCGCGAGGAAGATCACATCCGCGGCCGCCACCACGTTGTTCTTCACCGCATCTTGTGAGACCTAAACGGTCACCGCCGATGCGATCTGCACAAACGGAAGAACAGGGGCCACGACTGCGTGGTGAGAATGTCTTTTTCTTGCTCAGAGGCGGTGGGCGTACATGTTTTGGGGCCCTGACTTCGCTGGTGATTGCATGAAGGAACTCAAGTTTCAAAAGCGCAAACTTCTCGACCATGTTGCAACAAGGCACTGCCTGAAGCAGTGCCTTAACAAAAGGTGGGCGTAGTATGGAAAGCCCTATTCATGTCCCCTACTTACAATGTCCACAGGTCATAGTCATGGCTCACTGAAGGAGGGAGGCATGCACAAAAAATGGTAACCATGCAAAGCTGAGAACTTGAAAAGGCTGAGTCGAGGCCAACCACACTAATCCTTTTGGCCTTTGAGACTTGAAATCAGAGCCTTCAGAGCCAACGATACGGATCAAAGAATTGATGGGCGAAAACGCACTCCCGTCTATGATGGCACACACATCTCATCACCGCACTCGTGGTCCCCGCTGCCCGGTCCCAGGTCAGGCACCCGCTGCAAGATGTGAACCACTTGTCTGTCGGCCCCTTCGAAGACCAAGTCATGGACCACCTGGGAGGAAACACGAAGGACCCTAGTAGCAATGGCCTCCACCCTAGTAGCAATGGCCTCCACCCTAGGCGCAGTTTCCCAAATGATTTTTTGGCGAGCAAAACCACCAACATCAACGGCATCATTATAGACAGACCGTCCCCAAAAATTAGAATGAAAATCAGCTTTGTCAGAGATGCCCCCATCAATCCAGACCCCCATGCCAGCACTATATCCGATCCCAAATCTCACAACCGTAAAACGCGAACCGGCCAACCTGAAGCTTGCAAAGCTCCTTCTCGAAGCGAGCAAACTGGAGTTCACCATGAAGCCTGAGGAATTTTAACGATTCGGACCAATGGATTGAGCACCAGACACTGGTGGAAAGGGAGCAGATATGATAAATATAAATATAAATTGACAAATATAGATTATATATATTAAATATATTTACATTGAAATAGGCGGTCTCAAGCCGACTCATGCCCAAACCTGGAGACCACCCAACTACAACCTGAGTTGTAAGTCCTCTTCTGGGCTTTGAAACCTCCTCTAATTTGTAGCTGCTCATGAAGAGGGACAAGTATTTTTCGGTTGGCTCCCTCGTTTGGGGGAACCAGGGCACCGCACAGCTTCGTTCCTCTCATGGTGTTGGGCAACTCCGAAACGAACATCGATGTCGGTGTCCAAGAAGCTGAGGAGACAGGAGCTCCAGCAAGGGCACGTCCATGTCTGCAGACCTCCACGCCAGCAGAGCTGGAGGTGGAAGAAATTCAAAAGTAGCTGAATCCAGGGGACCTCAAGGGGTTGGCTGCTACTCGACATTGTTGAGTGGCTTCATCATGATTCAGGTTGACTATTCCAAGATATTTGCAATTTCTCGGGTTTAGGCTTTTCTTGGAGGTTGAAAACGGTTGATACGTCGATCTCTTCCTTGCCCACAAAGTGCGAAACTGTGGTTTTGCTGGATCATGACTGCGCGCTACTCAGCTACTCCACTACCACCACCGTCCCAAAATAGCCCAGGAGTTTGCCCAGGAGATCCGCCTCGCTTGCTGCCTCAAGGTGTACCTCACTCCATGGCTTTGTTGCATCGAAGGCGGAAACATTCCAGCGGTTCTGGCGTTACCTCCTTCGGACCCATCGACACCCGCCAGTGCTTCCAGGAAGTCCTCCTTCTTTCGTTTCAGACCGTGTTTTGTGGCATACCCCTCATCAAGAGCTCTCCCCGAGTTTTTTGCAACCAATTCTGATCCATTCCCAGCTCTCCGTCTGGTTCCTCTCAACTCGCCCACTGCGCGCGCCGCAATGGCCAGACGGGCCACTGATACTGCAGGAAGTGCGTGATCTTCTGCGCCAACTGCGCTGAGATGTTGTTTTGGCTCATGTAGCACCGCAACAAACGGAACTCCGTGTTTTCATCCTCCTTGACAAGAGCCAGGAGGATCTTGGTAAAGGCTGGAGACTCCCACCCAGCAGGCAGATGTGCAAAGGTGCTTGCCAAAAGTCCATTTTTGCGGAGCAGTATATGATAGTATATGTCACATTCAGTGCTCTAGCAGATTTACCCACGCTCGATATGTTGTAGTGACTGTCAGTTTGCCCTGCATCTAGTTCACATCCTACTTGCCTTTAGCAGGGTAGAGGGCCAATCCACAGCAGCCCAAGCAGAACAACTAGTCGCAGCCGACTCCTTGATCTTACTGAGGCCAGCCATCAAATTGCTGACGGTGGAGATCAAAGTGGAGGAGGTGATCAAAGATCGAAAGGCCACGAAGATGCAATAAGCCATCTCCACCACCTCAGAGCTGAAGTTTGTACACTGAGCTTGACAACGGGGCTCCCCTGGAAGATTCTCCACAAGCCAGTCGTGCCAAGGGGTTCAAAACAGACGTGGAGGGAATTTGCAGCGCCAATCGGTCTTGGGCTGTTAGCGAATAATATTTAAGATGGTCTTGGGCTGCTAGCGAATAAAAGATGGCGGAAAGGAATTGTTTCCTATTGTGACTATCTGTGACTTGCTTGCTACTGACTGTAGAGCCGCTCCGGGAGGAAGCAAGTCAACTGTTGGCTTTGCAGACCGTAGCTGTAGCTCAAAAGCATACAACCCCCGCACCGGTCATGACAAATCTAAGTCGTTTATGGTTGAGAAACTGGCCTGAACTGGCACTGGACCACCAATCGACACTCCAAACACAAAACAAGCCCTGCCAAATGTGAAAAGATTGAAGCCCCTTTCCCTGTTGCCAAGGCTCGTTGGTGGCCTTCGCGGGGCTTGAGCCAACCCCAAGTTGAGCGAAGGCCCAGTTCAGGCAAGTCAGGTATTGATACCTGCGGACATGGCCAGTTGCTGCAACGAAGGGTCGCTTTGACCGGCTGGGGTTGAACTCCAAGGTGTTATGCTTAGGCTGGAGGCCATGTCATGGAGAGATTGAGCTCTCTGTGTCAGGTTGTTTTCATGTCATCTATCGCCACATATCTCAGTCATGTCATGGAGTATGGCTGGAACATGTTGCCCATGACCTCCTGGACTCACATGACTCGCACATCAGAATTGGTGCAGGTCTCGGGGAATGGAGCATCCAAAGACATCTGAAGCTTTATACAGCTTTATCCCAACATCTCAACACGGACCATCCTGTTCAAGACTTTGACTTGAACATACCCTTCTGCAGCATTGATCCACCATTCCCTTTTTCTCGGAGGAAAGAAGCACCAAAAACAAATGAAAAAAGAGACACGCACTCAGCCCGACCCGCACGCTATCGCACTACTCCACACGCTTCTAAATCACGGGTCTCACACGAGATGCGAAGGTTCCATGTCCCACTGTCTCACACATCTGTGGCCAGGATGCTCCATGCTGTCATCCTGAAGCCCCAGGTCAGTAACCCAGTTCTCAGAGTGCACGTGACTCACGGCGAACCATGCACAAGCGACGAGGTGGTTCAACACACCTGAGTGGAGGCAGGTGGGAAGCACATGAAGGAGGCAGGGAACTACAGTAGTACATATGTTCATATAGCCTGCATAAGGTTACCTCTTTCAAGGCTCCCTGAAATGCATGGTCTGACCACCTATTTACCCTATATATATATATACCGGTGATTGTGTTCAATGCAGAGACTTGTCCAAGGCCCTGTCCAGCTTGAAACTGCCAAGGCTGCCCAGGATTTGAGTGTCAGAGGATCTGTGGGACAAGCAGCCTTCATGGCTTGGTCCAGTTTGGTTTCCATGAACTTTCGGACAGCCAGGTCATCCCCAAAATGAAGCCCAAGGCACACAAGTGAATCAGGCTGCTGAAAAGGCTGTAGTACAAAGTCGAGGCCTCCGAGCGTTCGGCGGTGAATCGGCTCGGTGCTGCGCAAGACAACATGGAGAGTGGCACAAGGGCTTACTGAGTCACTGAGCCTTGGGTGTTCAAGAGTGCGATGCAGTAGAATGCCCTACAGCGCAAGTTCTAGGTTAACAAAACTTGTCGCCCCTGCCAGCTGCAAACTCTATTTGTACTTCACCTCCACATGTCCCATATTGTCCCATACTGCCCATCTCACACGAATCCTCTCGCCCTCCTTCTTTGACCGCCACGACCGCACGGTCACGGTCCAAATCCGACCGCACGCTTGGTCGCGTCGCGTCTAACACGCGCGTCCGTGCACAGACGCGCGGCCTGCGAGGTGAAGAACTCTTGGAAGACCTCGTTGATCCGCCGGAGCTTCACCATCCGCAGCATCCGCATGAGCCGCAAGAAGCGGAGCATCCGCAAGCTCCTGGACCACATGATGTTCCTGAGCTGCTTAGCTGTAAGCACAGCCGCAAGGGGTGGGTCCGGATCCGAGTTCTTTTGAAGTGGAGCTTGAGCCATTTCCAGATCCCAAACAAGTGACGATGTATTTCTGGCAAATGTTCTGTGCTGGTTTAGCGTAGTTGCCAGGGTTACGGGGTTAATCCGAGGCAGCTGCGCGGTAAAAACTGTAAAAATTGAAAAACTTTCTGTTTTTACCATGTTTACCGGAGGGGCATCCCATTTTTTAGCATATCCGCGGCAAAAACGGTAAAAATCGATTATTTTTGTTTTTACCGTTTTTACCGGGGGCGCGCTTTTGTTCTAGGCGTCCCTTTTTGTTTCTCCATATTCGTGGTAAAAACGGTAAATACCGTTTTGTTTTTTCCGTTTTCACGGGGGGTACGGTCCTTTTTCTTTTACCATATCCGCGGTAAAAACGGCAAAAATCGATTCGTTTTTACCGGGGGGGCGCTTCCTTTTTCAATACCATATCCGCGATCAAAACAGTAAAATCAATGTTTGTTCTTTTTGTACCGTTTTGACCGAGGGGGGTCTATGTTGTTTTTCCGTTTTTAACGGAGGGTCACCGCTGTTTCTTCTGCCATATCCGCGGTAGGTATAAATCAAAAGTGTTCGATCCAAGTGAAGTAGGCTTTCATTGCCCTGCAAAAGTTAAAAGTCATGAAATTTTGATCAATCACCAAACTCCTCTTGTCGAAAAGGGCACACGCTCCTATATGATAGGAGGAGTGAACCCCACCTGATTATAGGAAGATACCCGGGCTGTAACATTAAACCTTTTTCTTGACAGAGGTCTTCTAGCTTGCGACCTGGTCCCGAGGCATTGTCGCGGTAAAGACGGTCCAAAGTGAAAATTACTACTTTTGTTGTTTACCTTTTTTATGAAGAGTCGCTTGTTCTTTTTGCTTCTACCATATCGTTAAAAATCAACGTTGTGTTATTTCCCGTTTTTGTAGGTGGACTTGTCCTTTTCTTTTCTACCATCTCCGTGGCAAAAACGGTAAATGTGTTTTTGAATCTTTTTACTGGGGGCGCTCCATGTTTAAATTTCATATCCGCTGTAAAAACGGTAAAAATCAAAAAGTTGTGTTTTACCGTTTTTACCGGGGGGGCGCCCCTTTTTCTCTACCATATCCGCGGTAAAAACGGTAAAAATCAAAAAGTTTATTGTTTTACCGTTTTTACCGCGGGGGCGCTCCTTTTTCTTCTACCATATCCGCGGTAAAAACGGTAAAAAACGATCCTGCGGGGTCGCGAAAGGATACCCCTTAGCAAAACAACGCTCGCGAACCAGCTTAGGGCAAATGTCTGGCAGGTATTTTTCAAGGTCTGCCTTCGGAACGGACAAAAAAGAAACTAACAAGTCTTTTGAACAACCCCAGCACCGAAATTTGACCTCACACAACTCCACCGGTTTCATGCTCAGGCCCCAAGTGGGGAAACCAGACTTGGTCCAGACCGGCAGCATCACTGGGGGGTCAGCCGGTCTACCAGCCCTACCGTGATCTTCTCCAAGGCTGCGAACACTCCACACCTGCCTCCTGAAACTCACAACGGCACAAAGAGACCGCATCTTCTTCCTCCACTACTGACCCCAAAAAAACTTATCCCGGCAAGAGACCCCAAACAGTGTGTGTGAGATCTATAAGCAGAAAGTTTAGAGATTCGGATCCAGAGAGGTGATGGTGGTGATGAAGGTGGGGATCGTGGTGACAATGGCGACGGTGGTGAGTGAGTGAATGCGAGTGTGAGTGTGAGTGAGAGCCGGAGAGCGAGTGTGAGTGTGAGTGTGAGAGTGAGAGTGAGTGTGAGGGGGGAGCATCAGGGTCAGCATCACCGGGAGCACCAGCCTGGTCTGACTGCTGTGTGAGTGTGAGGGAGTGTGGCTGTGCGTGAGTGGGAGAGTGAGTGAGAGTGAGTGAGTGCGTGCGTGCGTGCGTGCCTGCGTGCGTGCGGGCGTGCGGGCGTGCGGGCGTGCGGGCGTGCGGGCGTGCGGGCGTGCGGTCGTGCGGGCGTGCGGTCGTGCGGGCGTGCGGGCGTGCGGGCGTGCGTGCGGGCGTGCGCGCGTGCGGGCGTGCGAGTGTAAGAGTGAGTGAGGGTGAGTGAGAGCGTGAGTGAGAGAGTGAGTGAGAGAGTGAGAGTGAGTGGGTGAGTGAGTGGGTGAGAGTGAGTGAGTGTGGGTGTGGATGTGGGTGAGTGTGAGTGAGAGCGTGTGTGAGTGAGTGAGAGTGAGAGTGAGGGAGTGAGAAAGTGAGCATCTGAGAGCACAAAGTGCTACGCCTGCTACGAAATCTGTCTGCACATCGAGGTTCACCAAGTGCTGTACCTGCCACGAAAACTGCACTTCGAGGTTCACCAAGTGCTGTGCCTGCCACGAAAACTGCACATCGAAGTTCACCAAGTGCTGTGCCTGCCACGAATCTGCACTTCAAGGTTCACAAAGTGCTGTGCCTGCCACGAAGTCTGCGCGTCGAGGTTCACAAAGTGCTACAGTTGCCACGAAATCGGCAAACGAGCCACATGTCCAAAAGTCACGATTCACCGCACCTGTCACGAAATCTGCGCTCCTCGACGATCACCACCATGTCCAAAGTGCTGCACCTGCCACGAAAATGTTCAAAGTAAAACAGCTCCGATCCCTTGCACCTGTCACGAAAAGCCGACTTTGGAGCACCAAAACACGAGGTTTCCCTTGCGCCTGCCACGAAAGATGACCACCATGTACGAAAATGCGCACGGCACCACAACGAGAGCACAGTCGTTAGAAGCACCCGCCGCGAGCCTGCGAAGTGGAAATGCACTTCGAGGATTTCGAGAGTCATGAATGTGCTGTAAATAGCAGCGAATTTGCCGGTCACGGCCGCGCACTTCAGCGACCTAAGCATCAGCTGCCTTTCCCCTACCGTAAGAACCCCTTGTGTGTCCGCACTGTTTGGGGAAAAAGAAGCAAAACAAAACAAAAGCGTCTGTCTCCCCTACCACGTTCCACCAGCCCCCGAAAACCCACGTTCCACCTTCCACGTCCGACTCTCTGCGCGGTCCGACTCTCAGCCTCCCCAGCCTCCCCTCCGTCCGGGCGTCTGCAGTTCCGACTCGTTGGACCACTCCATGGCGCGAAAGGCCCAGTCCATGGAGATCAAACTGAGATCAAAGAGCATCCAGGTCTTCGCGTAGTGCATCGCGATGCGGAGCAGGCTAAAGACCAAGGTGCCTCGACACAAGACGAGACCAAAAAGGGAGACACAAGACGCAGTGGAGCCCAAAAAGAGAGGTCAAGACGACCAACGAGACCAACGACGATGACGAGAGCCAAGGCGGGGGACCTACTTTTGGGGAGGGGCCGGATGGGATAGATGAGAGAAGACACTTGAAGTTGAGTTGTTCCACCCCCCCACACACATGCGCGAATGGCCTCTCAAATGGCCTTCGTCTGTGTTCGCGCGCGTGGGATAGGAAGTCAGGAGCTCTCCCATAGGTCTCAAGTGAACTTGTCCATCCCCTCTGATCATTCCAAGGCCGGAGAATGTCGATCTTGGATCGCTGGATCCGGCGAAGGACCGACAGAAGCCTTAAGGACCCCCCGAAACCGGACCGGCCTTCATCGTAGAAGCCTGTGAGGAAGGAGACGGCAAAGTCCAGGTTCCAGTAGATTTGAATGAGCCAATCCAAAACATCCCACAACACACTCCGCGGCAGAGTAAAGGCATAAAGAGGTATCACCAAAAGGTCGTAGAAAACACAGGCCGCCATCAGCAAATTCCAAACCTTGGTCATGGATCCGAAAAAGCGGCAGGTCACCCACACACGGCTCAACGCAGGTCACCGCACAGTGAACGCCGGCGAGCTTGTGGGATGTTCACTTGGGAAATATGGCGGTCCCGCAGCAATCGAAGGAACGTCATGAGCTGATGATCATTGACCTTCCGAGATACTGTTCTGAAACTCCCCCCTGGATGTAGAATCCATGTCCTGCACGGTTGACACAGGGGGTGCAATGATTAGAAATAAAAAAGCAGCCTTAAAAAACCACCCTTCGTTCCAAGGTCAATGGAACTATGCGTTACAGTAGGAGGGCCTCCAATTTGCCATTTTGGGATTCCTTGTCTACATGGTCTACACATGGTCTACATGTTCCTCTCCAATTGCACATGTCTTTTCCAACATGTGACCCGCATCTGACTCATCGACCTACCACTTCAGCCCCTCCCAAACAGCCGCAGCGCTCCTGGGAGCCACATCCGCAGATTCCGCCGAGTTCCTGAAGGGCCAGCAGGGGACGCAGGCCCTCGTGGCGGTGGGGTAGTTGGTGATTGCTATCCAAGAAGTGCAGAGAAGAGACCATCAGAGAACCGGAAAAAAAAGAACAAATGGAAAAAGAATGCCCAAGCAAACTGCAGGCTGTGGTTCAATTGGTATTTTGGAGTGCCGGTGCTGTTTTCTCTGCCCAGCTTTCTCTGCAGCAAACCACCATGAACTCTGCGGCATCTCTGACTCGGCAATGCATAAGGTTCTCAGGTGGTCTTTGTGGTCTCTTCGCTTTGGTCCAGTGCAGCTGAAAATGAACTCAGCTACTTAAGGACCTTGAGAAACACTCACCTTCCGAAGTGCACCCCGAATTGCGATAGCTTTTTTGTGGTGAGAGTTCCGTGTTGCCACCCACAGAAACTATCACAAGAATGGATTTCAAATGAAGTTTGAGGAGGTTTTATCTTCAGGTCTCGGATAGGTCTATGGCACAAGGGGTTGCTCCCCAGTCTGAATTCACGTTGCAGTCAGACTGTGTCCGAATTCAAACGTAGGCGCGAGCCCATTGTGTCCTGCTTGCACGCAGTTCGTGTCAAGATGTGTCAACTGAAAGGAACCTTCAGCACTGCCCACCGTTCCCACACCCGTCCCAGCCAGTCCAAGCACGGCGAGCTGCCCCGTTCCCACCCAAAAGCTGCCCCCCACTGCTCCCGTCCCAGCCGCACGGTGGGCTTCATCGGCGCGGCGTTCGGCCGGGCCGTCGCGGCCGCGGCGAAGTCCTTGGTCCTGGAGGGTCGTCGAGGGAGGCCATCGCTCTCATCCATCATCCACCAGATGCATGGAGTTGTCTTTGTTGAGGCGTGCTAGGGAGCTATGGTACTGTGGACATGGGGGGAAGAACGATATGCCGGATCTGTGATTTTTGCAAATGATTGATGTTCAGGTTCACCTCGCCAAGTTCAAAGGAAAGGCCCTGCTGGATGATTCCTTTCTTCCCTCACAGTCGAACCCATCAATGTTGCGACAGCTCCAAACACGAAAGACCTCTAGCAAACAAAACACACTGGCATTTGAGTCAAGAGGCTCTGCACAAATTATAGTCTCATCGGGCACTTACAAAACTATATATATATATATATGTATGTGTGTGTGCGTATGTGATATATATATATATATATGTGTGTATATATATATATATCACTATGTGTGTGTGTGTTTGTGTGTGTGTTTGTGTTTGTGTGCGTTGTTGTTCGTTTCTTTGTGTATATGTGATTTTTTGGGGTTGAAGGCCTACTATGACAATGTCCGAGTGAGAAAGCCACAGCGGTAAAAGCGATAAAAGCCTTTAGAGCCCATTGCCCATCTTTGTTTTCCGAGAAACGACGCCGGGATGGATCCGGCTCAGGTAGACCGGCATCGAATTTCGTCTACGTTGGGTATGGGTCATTACCAGAAACAGTGGTGATGATGGTTTGTAAAGGCCTTTCTCAAAAATTATGGTCAATGATCCTTTACCCACACGTGCTGGTTTACAGGTACACCAATGATTGTTAATAAGGAGAGGATCTTCCCATGACCCTGCAACAGCTCTTTCATTGAGGCAGCAAGTTCCACACCAGCCGCAGAGTTACAGCAGGGTCTCGGACATGTTCAAACCATCACATCACCTCACCCATCTCATCACCACGTATCCCCCCGGTTGCGTGCCAAGCACATTCAAGCGCCGCTGTTCCCTCAAATGATCGCCCAAAAGGTGGCCACCGCTTCGCGACCAATTCGCTCCTCCCGCGGGTCCACTTCACCGGAGGTTTGGAGCTCGTAGCACCCCAACAGCTGGGCGCGCGCCGAGCGGCAGTGGGACTGCGGGGGTGTCAAATCCAGAAGTGGGGATGGGGTTGGAAGATGGGCCGGGCTTCAGCTGGATTTGATCTACCTGAAGGCAAATCACTGGATGGTTGCGCTGAGAATCGCAAGTGTCAGGCTGACACGCAACCCACTTGTTGATCTAAAACGATGATGACATCCATGCACGGCCCTCACCCCAGGCATCGCCCAGGCACTCGTGGCACGTCAATTCCACCACCGTTGCCGAGACCTCCTCCTCCGTGGCGGCAGGAGGCTTCACCCCTTGCCTGGCGGGACACATGCAGCGCGGCACCAGACATGGGGAGGCGCCAGGCATCCCGCAACTGGCTCGAATCAAAAAGGACTCCTGCCGCCCAGTCACCATCCAAGCAAGGTCTTCAAGGACTTCTCTCTCCTGCGGCAAGGGGCAGGCAAGGGGCCTTTACACTGTACACCAAAGAAACAAATGAAATGAAATACACATGAAATCTTGATCTGCGCTTTCATCCCAACTGTCTTCAAGCGTGTCCCAAAAAGCCAAGGACACTCACCATACATGTGGCCCACAGCACCCCAGCCCGCTCGCGAGCTTCGGTCTCCTGTTTTTGATCGTGGAGCGCCGGGAGTTCCGCCGGGCGCCTGAGTCCTCCATGTGCCGGGTCCTGCAGCGGAGGGTGAGGGAGAAGCGGCGAGCGATGTGCCATGTGTTTCCTCGGTTCTCTGCAATCAGCCGGCGACCTGCATTCACCTGGTATATCTTGCTTCAGCCACGTGCCCCGACCATCAAGGGCCTCGCAGGAGAAATACTATTCCTCGGTGACTGTTTTCAGCTTTACACTTTGGGGGGCGGAAGATGTGATCTTTGGCACTCAAGCCACGACATCCAGTCAATGACATCCTTTTGGAAACAGTGGAGGGGTTCATTTACCTAACCTATTGAAATTCATTCTTCCGGAAACGCAACTCTTGGCCAAAAAGAATATTTATGTTCGCGAATCTTTCGCAAACTCCATGTTTAACTTTCGCGGGAGGTATGTGATGGCATATGCTGCTACAAGTTTTCTTTGTTTGGCTGCATCCACAGACCTATCTGTCGCAGATCTTTCGCAAAAAAAATTGCCAGCATAGACTCCAAACTTCTTAGTCGGCAAGAACTGTTGTTGTGGCGGTTGGCGGCCACACCCGCAGAGATGAGGGAAGGAAAACGGCACGCACACACCAAGAGGACAAAAGAAGGACAAGCTGTGACCGGACAACGCGGAGAACAGGACAACATGAGGAGAGCACGCCAAGACGAGGAGAACACGAGGAGAAGAGGAAGAGAGGACAAGAGAAACACAAGAAGAAGACGGGAGGAGTGCGACCGGAGATCGGCTGGCAGCCGCGGCCAATGAACATCTAAAGAAGGAAAACAAGAAGGCAATACAAGACCATGAGGAGGACAATGCCAAAAAAATTGTCACAAGAGGAGAAAAGGACCTAGGAGGACATCCGGACAGGCCCCAACCGGCGTGGCCTGATACTGTGGCCAGCTTCTTCTTTCCTACCGGAGCCCCGCAAGAAGAGGAGAACAGGAGGACAAGGAGAGGACATCGGCTTCTGCGATTGCTTTCTGGAGTTGTCGCACGCTGTCATGTTTGCATGCTGACAGGCTGCCACGTGGCCATGCTGCAGTACTGCGGTCTTCGTGCTTGCCAGCTGGCGCTTCACAAGGCACTTTGGAGCGGTGCTTCGCGCACGCACGCTGTCATGGTGTCATGATGTGTCATGACTACATGCTCCCATCTGGACACCGGCAGAAGGACAACAAGGGGACAACAGGAGGACAACAGGAGGACAAGAGGAGGGCAACGGGGCGACAAGAAGAAGACAAGAGGATGAAAAATAGACCCGGCCAAGCTGCACACTAGAAGAGGACAACAGGCGGACAAAAGCACAGGACACAGGAGGACAACGCCCGGAATTTCACCAGCGCAGCCAGAGACTGTGGCCAGCTTCTTTTCTCCTAGGAGAGAACCCCAACAGCAAAACGGTTTGGGATGAATCTTTACTTTCGTGAACTCAATCAACTCTCACGAACATCATAAGAGGCTCTTAATGAACCTAGGCCAGTACCTAAGCCTTTCGTCGTCCTTTGCATCAACTGCCTGCCATATAAGATTCAAGGCTTGCAGCTCAATTCCATAAGATGGAAACTTCATGAAACATCCAGACAATCCAGCCCTGCAAACACCTTTGATGGCCCTATGACACATGTGGGTCAATGCGGAAACGCAAGCTCTTGCATGCCCCTTACAGGTCCGGACGATCGCATCAGACTGACTTCGTCAGTGTAGCATCGTCCGTCTCAAGGCCATCAAGTTTCCTACAGTTACACTGTTCTGCAGTGTGTGATCGAAAAGGGCACATGCACATGCAAAAGAAATCAAAGGTCTGCAAACGCACCTTCGTGTTTTGCACCTCCACGGGCAACACGAGCAATGTTTGCAAACTCTGTTTCAGGCTAGCTAGCACCCCCTCCGGTCCGCGTCCAAGAGAAAGGGTCTTCCACGGTCTGTGTTGGCAGCATCGGACCTAGTCAAACCCGGAGGGCTCTGCACCGTCCGCATGGGAAGCGATGGGGAAGCCACAGGGGGCGCTCTGCACGCAATTGACCCACCATCCTTTGCCTTCGCCGCTCGTATCACCGGTCGACTGGGGGCACATCGGTCAGGGATTATCGGATAGACATGCTGCACTGAAGAGCAGCACGCATATCATAGAATTCTATAAGGATGTCTCGACCGCAGCTGGAAAGGCCTGCAATCTCACCAAACCTCTCAAAGCCTCTCTCGTGCTGCGGAAGACTTGCAAACTTGGAGATCGACAACCTCACCGTGCGGAAGTCATTCATCCCTTCCCGGGCAGGCCAACCAAAGGGTTTTACGTGCTTCAGGACCTGCTGGGCCACCCGCACATCGTAAAAGGTCACAAGAACCAGTTTCGTACAGGGTGCGAAGGACACGTCCAACCGGGCCACATCATAGTCCTTAAAGAGCTCCGCAGCCTCTGCAAAGGTTGTTGGGCACTTATCTGGGTGAAACTGAATTGTCAGCGTGTTTGAAACCTGTGGGCAGGGCGCAAAGCTGGCCATGGCTCGTCTCCTTTCCACCACAGCTCACCGGGGAACGTGATGTCGACACGTTGGCCCCAAAAATACGCGCAGTCTTGAGCCAAACACACAGTCAAGCGGTGGGCAACATGTACGCAGCAAAATATCGTCGGCTATCCTCCCTGCGGCTTCCGGCACTAGATTCATTGAGATTCGTTTCTCACGGATCACTTCGGGAATGAAAACAAGACTCACCCCGATGTGTGTTCCACCGTTGTGCACTCAGGGGTGTTCCCATTAGATCCACCAACCAATCGTCACATCGTCAAAGGCCATCTATGCATCCAATCATCTATAAAATTGCGGTGTCACTGGCCAGGAAGGCAAAAGTTGGTCGACAAAGACTGGTCACTTGGAACATCTTGATCATCTTGGAACTTCGTCCGCCGACAATCAGGTCCATGTGAAACATTCTCGACTTGGGAGCCTGTGTACTCTTGGGGATACCTGGATGGTGTGCTGAAGAGTGTCCTCCTCACAATCCAGCGGCCACCCCAAAAACAACCTCCTGCTCAGCGTAAGGGTTCTTCTTCCGGGTTGGCACTCTTCCAAACCTCCAAACCTTTTACACCTCTTGATCTCCCAACCATCCGGACGTCTCCATCGACCTGTCCCCGACGTCGCCCGTCCTGGGCGACACCGATTGCAAAGAGGGGTCGGTCAGTGGCGGCACGCTGGACTCACGCCGCAGGAACTCCTCCTCCTCGGCCCCTGCGGCCGGTGGCACAAACATGGGCTCGTGGAGAGGCCAACATCGGTGTCTTTTGCGGCATAAGAGGCACCGTATTGATCTTATGTTGACCGGGTGCGCCGCACCACCGGAAAGTCCCGAAAATCAACGGCGGAAGCAAAACGAGTGAGGAGACGAACGAGTCACCCAAAACTAAAAAAGAAGCCAAGTCTCGACCTTCCTCACGCAGAAAAAGAACCAGTGTCGGCGTTTGTGAGAGTTTTTCCAGGCGTTTGGTCAACTCTTCTGCCTCTCAAGCGCGCGATATCAGCCTGGTAGCCTCAAGAAAGAGTGGCTGTGATGAAGAAAACCGCTGTGGGCAGCCATGGGAATGCGTGAAACGAAAGGGGAACCTCCACAACCGCGGTCCGTCACAACGAGTGCTGGAAGCGGACCTGCACAAATGTTCCAAAGCTTTGCCCTGTGACTACGCAAGGGGATGAAGTGGACTCAGTAGACCATTAGTGCAAGGGATGCCTTCTGACAGTGAACTTCTACCGCCAATTTATAACTGGTTCTGGATCGCCACGATTCCTACAAAAGATTTGGCCCTGGTCCAAGGTGCGTATTGCCTGTCTGGTTGTAAATGAGGGGTGAAACACTCTGACAAATGACACCTTGGCAAATCCAGTTGCAGCAGTATGCAAGGCGCAAATTACCCCCCAAAATGAACCTCCTGACAGCAGCAGCTGTCCTATTGCCTCGCTTGTGGTGCTCATGACCAAGATGAGACCAACCTAATGTGATGCTTCCGACTTTCATGTTGATTCATCACAGATTGGAACCTTGAGCGGCATCCAGTTTTGATCTTCTCCAGAATGATGAGGGCCACTGGCCACACGCAGACACACACTCACTCCCTCACTCCCTTGCTCGCTCTCTCACTCCCTTGCTCGCTCTCTCACTCCCTCCCTCCCTCCCTCCCTCCCTCCCTCCCTCGCTCATATATGAATGTACTGTACTTACACTTTGGTGGACACTAGTCATCATCTGCAAAGGCCCCTTGGGCTCCGAACATTTCGCCAACTGCCGGTGGAGCTCCCAAAAATCTCCTCAGCCACTCAATTGCACAGGCCCAACTGTGAGAAGACCCGGTGAAAAAACGGGACATCTTGAACGAAACCCACGCCACCAAGGGCGGCCGTTAGAAGCAGCCAAGATGGACGCCAGTGGCTCTTTGGTCTCTAGCCATCCACCACACCCTGAGGCTCCATCCACCACAGCCTTCAAAGAGCTCGCTTTGCAAAGGGGTATCTTCAACATGCTCTTTCGCCCTTTGTTCGTCACCTCTATGTTTACCCACCCCAATGTCACGCCCCCCTTCCTTTCCGCGCCTGCCGGGTGAAGCTCCGGCACATCCATCAACTCGCCCTCCATGGCTCGAAAAGGGTGTGTCTTCACTCACCGGAGGAACTTGAGCCCAGGCCATGGGCGAAAAGCTGAGGTTGAAACCGCGAGCTTCGCGGCGGGGGCATGCACCGAACAAGGCATGCTTTGCGGCCGGGCCAGATTCTATTTTTGATTGCCAGGGTGGCCAATTCTCTTTCCAAGACTCACTGATGCCTTGGAGTTGTGAAATTTCAACATCCTTCAACTCTCAGGACATCCTTCAGTATCGCCGCGAAGCTAGGAGCTTCAGCAAGTCACCTCTTGTCATTGGGATCAGTTGAAACCCAAGAGATTAAAAGCTTCACCTTCTCAACAAATCATCGAAATTGAAATGCTTGAGCTCAACCATTGAAACGCAGCACCTCTACACCCATCCAATCTTTCGCGTCCCTTTTCGAGCCAGTGAAGGTAGCAAAACACGCTCCCGGCTCAGGCGAAGATGGAGCTGGCGTCCGGGTCGTCGGGGGCGGACGTCATGGATGGTCCACTTTTGTCGGAGATCCCTGACGTTTGACGATGGAAAATCCATCCCATTGGTCCATCAACTGTGCGGATGTGGGAGCAACTGCAGTCGTGTTTTCGAAGGCTGGTTGGGATGTCCATTCTTCAAGGCCCTTCAGTCACCAATCAAAATTTGAAGACCTTCGAATTCCCGTCCTTTGCTGTTTAAAGGCACATGCATATAGGGCCAGAACTGAGACGGGACAGGACACTGAACAGCTGCGATGAGGGCTGTGAAAAGAGAAAAGTATAGGCCATGCGAAATCAGGTTGACCACAGGCACCTTAGTTTTTCTCAAAAACTCCTGAACCTCCACGACAAAATCAACAAACAAGTCCCTGACAGTGTCTCTCATCTCCAAACTTCACTCCCAAGTTCTCTATCACCTTCCTCCAACCCGAGATCATCTCAGCAGCGCATCCGCATGGCACCCAAAGAGCCTCGGAACCCTCGGAACCCTCGGAAAGACTCCCGGGCTCAGCCCCCCCCCTAGGCTTGAAAACCACCTCTTTTTCGGATTTGGCCTGAAAACCGGCACGACCAAACCCAACTCATGTTTCAACGGGCCTCTGCGCCGCGCGGCGGCACAGCTCTTCGAAGAGCTCCACCGAGGCACCACCCGCCGCCTGGGCCCAGCGACCGAACACCCAGCGGCGGCGCCCAGCGGCTCCGGGGGAACGGCTCCAGAGAAGCGAAACGGAGCCGTTCTCCGTTGTCGGAGATGGATCGATTGTCTGGCCTGCTTCGATTCGCGGATCGGTTTCATTTTGAAACCCTGTCTTGTGATCCGAAAGGGCAGGTGGGACACGTGGCTCAAAAAGGAGCGTGGAATCCTTTTTGTCAGTTCCAAACCCGTGCCCGTCCTGTGAAGGACGGAAGTCTTGCAACTGTAAACATCTTGCTACTTCGGCGTATTGTCTGCAATCCACCAAGTCATCTACCAGTCATGGTCCACTGCTCTCAAACGAGTCCCATTCCAACCCGTCGGCCTCCACCGCATCGACCGCGGCCAGGAACGCCGAGGGCCCTGGATCGCCATGTTGGCTGCCTTCGCCGACGGATGGGGGCCACACGACAAGTGCCGGATCACCAAAACGGGATTATATCCGTCGGGTGGCGGACACACCAATGACTTGTCTACATTGGAATCGACGATGATGGCCTGTGTTGTTCGCAATTCCTTTGTCTTCCCTTGTTCCATTGAATTGTCGAGCCAAACCTTTGGGCGTTCTCATTTCTCATGGTAGACGGACGCCACAAAGCACCCCAGAAGCTCCACAGTTGCCATGGCTTTCCCCAGCTGGTTGATGCCCCGACGTTTTCTCGGTCGATCTGGGTGCCCCGAGCATTCCGCCAGGACCCAGAGGGCCAAGTCCCAGGAATTCTGAGTGGCACAGGCGCGGATCGCTTGTGGCGCCACCTGGCAACATCAGACAGGAAGCGGAGCGCGTTCGCGATGGCCTCCAACCTACTAGCGATGGCCTCCAACCTGCTAGCGATCA